GTGAAGACATGCGAGTGGGGGTGTCCCGTGCAAAGAGTTTGCATAAGACCGGACCATGAGATAGTCACTTTTACTTTATAACACCGTTTACTGTTTGAAACTGACTATCTCGACTTTGATGGCCTAGGTAACTCGATCTTAATCCTGAGCTAATTATGAACTTCTGTTTACTCGGGATTACCCTTAGATCTGCATGGGTGAGAACAGCTCAACAGCGCTGGCTCAATAAGCCTCCCATTTCTGGGGTAAGGCCCGATAGATAGCTAGGGACATAGGGTGCTAGAAGAAATTCACTTCTACCCAATTTTAGGATAGTAGAAAGGTTGTTCTCTTAAGGGCTGAATCCAGGTCTTGAACAATAGGCGCCACCCTCATCAAAAGGTTTGAGAGGATTTTTGATTTGATAGTTGGACTACAAATCATTGTTCATTAGAGGATCAGTGGGACTTAAGGAACAAGAGGTAATTACAGGGGTAAAGCGGTATTTTGACCTAGCTGTAATTACGAACAACTTGTGAAGGGTCGACTTACCGATCATGGTTATATCAAATGCACATAATATATCTACAGTGAAGAGAGTGCAGCTACGGGCTTTAGTGGAATGACCCGGTAGTTAACGAATGTTGGTTAACTAGGTTAAAGAGTTTAACCGGTTAATCTCGGATCGTTGGAGCTCGTAATTTGTAGGTCCATAAGGTCCCCTGGCTAGCTCATATAAGAATAAACTTGGAATAATTTGAAGGAATAATTCGAATCGTACGAATTAGGTTAATCATATGAGATATGATTAAGTAATTGATATATGATATCAATTTGAGAAATTTGGACAAAATATTTAAATAGGATTTAAATATTAAAATTATGAATGTGGATTCATAATCGGAGGCATGGATTTCATCAAACATCGGATTTTGGAAAAAGTCAAATAGTTGACTTTGACCAGAGAAAGTCAAAGGTTGACTAAAGTAGATTAAAATAATGTTTTTAACCAAGTTGGTGGAAAATTCTACTAACTTGTTGACTGGAACATTTAAATAATCTCAAAAATCCACTTTTTGACACTTAGCCATGCATGCATAAGTAGAATGTGTGTTGTAAGCTTTTGGTGAACTTAGACATGCAAGAGTTGCATGTAATTTGCTTATTTAAGAAGGCCTTTGTTCAAACATTAAAAGGTCTTGGAACCTTTGGCTATTTTTTTCAAAAAAAGCTTATATAACTCTTTTTAGCTCCACTTTTCTCTAAATTTTTCCTTCTCTAAAAAGAGTCCCACCACTTTATTCCAAGCCTTGAGAATAGCTAGGAAGATCTCTTGGTGGTCCTTGATTGGAGCTATTTGAAGATTTTTGAAAAGCTACAAAGGTTTGTATTTTTCTCTACTTATCTCTAAGCATCATAATGTATGATCATGCATGTTTAATCCTAGGTTGTATTATGCATCTAGATTGTTATTTCGATTGTTGCTCACTTCCGCTACGCATGTATGTATATTATCCATCACATTCGTACCCATATTTCCTTCAGTGTATAGATAAACTATGATTTTCTTCTCCTTTCAATATTGATGTCAATCAATATGTGCTTCCCGTTAATTATCTTCTATTAAAGGATAAATAACACAAAAAAAATAGTTAGACATTTGGATCTCGAACACAAAAGAAATAGCTAAACTGTAATCATAAAATTGATTTCATTAAAACAAAAAGACAATAAAAGAATGTGAATTACAATAGAAAAAATTCAAACAATATGGGTATTGAAGCAACCGTACCAACCTGAAATATTGAAGCGATAAAAAAAACTAAAACCCAAAGAATGGGTATAAAGAAGAACCGTAGCAGTAAGGAGTGTATGAACGAACATGTATGAATGAGCAGTAGCAGAAATCAGTAGAAATGAGGATCATGAGAAGACGTTGTGCCAACAATAATTAAGATTTGGATATTTTTTTAATTAATAATATTGGTAAATAAAGAAAATCAAATCTTTTTTAAGGGGTTGAAGGAGTGAATTAAGGAATTTGAATTGAAAATTAATGTGGGGCCCACAATAATTAAAGGATTGTGATATTAATTTATGAAATTAAATATTTTATATTTAAAAAAAAACAAATAACCATAGTAAATGTAAATGCAATGAATAGGGGTAAATTCGAACTTAAAATAAAATCATACCTTCGAACTTAAAATAAAATCATACCACCAGAAATTTAAAAGTGTAAAATTTAAAAAATTTAAACATTTATGTAAATATGTTTCTAAAACAGCCCTCCGAAGATATTATCTCATTTAAAAATTGTTTTCCGGTAATTAGAGATGAGAAAATGACATAAATGACCCTCCTAAAGAAACTTTTTGCTCAAATAACCCCTCCCTAAAAAATTGTTTTGAATGACCCACCATATTATTTTAATGAATTTAAAAAATGATGAAATTACGTTTATGCCCTCAATTAAAAAACAACGGTTGTGCTTTTTTGTTTCCCTCTCTTCGTCTTTCTCGTGCGTTTCAACTTCTTCACCTTCTTCCTCTCTTCATCTTTCTCGTCTGTGCCGCTTCAAGCTTACGTTCATGCGCTTCTTCCTCTTCGTTTCCCTCTTTTTCTCTTATTGTGCGTGATATTCAACGCCTTCTTCACAGATTGTCTAACGCCTTCGCCTGCGCCTCGCCCGCGAAATGAAGGTTAGGATTTCACTAAACTTACACTTAATCACTGTGGTGTTCTTGTTTAATTTCATTGTGGGGTTCTTGTTTGACGTTGTGGGTGTAGGGTCTAAGTTTGAACATTTATGTGGGTTTCAGGCGATTTAGGGCGGATTGATTAGGTTTTTCAAATTATTTAGGGTGAATTGATTTGGTTTTGACAAGTTTACGGGCTAATTCGGGTTTCTGGGTTTTATTTCTCGTGGAGATTTCTCAAACTACATCAAAGCATCTCGTTCGAGGTACCCCGGGAAATTCAGATGTGGTGTACTATTTCTGGTAAATTTCTCGGGGTATTCTCGGGCAAAGGTAACCCGAGAAATTTAACAGAAGCATATTTCTGTCGCATGCTTTCTCGTTTTATCTCGCACGCTAAGTTTTATATGTTATTTCTCGGGGGTATCTCGCCCTGGATTGGCCCGAGAAATTGAATATTCATTTATGGGTATTTTTTTCGGTAAGAGAAATTGTAGTTAACCCGATCTCGAGTGAGATGCCCCCGAGAATTAAGACAGAACATTGCTTGACCACTGGTTTCTTTTTGTTTTTTGTTTTTGTTTTTTATTTCTTGCTTATGTTTGTATGACTATCATATTCAATTATGTTTTTACTCGTATTCAGGTTTGAAGTATGGAAATGAGACCGAAAATTGACCCTACAATCTTTGCCTCTGCAAATGTGACCTGTCTATCGCACCTAGCGAAGACAGGCACTAATATTAATGAAAAACTCACCCCTAGACAGCTAGCTAGCGATGTTTAGGAAAACTATTTTCGATCATCTACTCGAAGTGGACCTCGTTTTTAACGGACCGTTGATACACAATATCTTACTTAGGGAGGTTGAGGATAGTACATCGAATACGATTAGTTTCAACCTTTTTGGGAGGAAGGTGTCATCTGGACGGAGGGAGTTTGACCTTATTAGTGGCCTATACTATGACACGAACCCAGTTAGGAAAGTTACACATCCTCATAGACTGAGGGCCTTGTACTTTAACGATAGGACGAACATTGTCTTGAGTGAGTTAGAAAAACTGTACATAGCCACCCAGTTTGAGGATGACTTCGATGCGGTCAAGGTATCGATTGTTTACATGGTAGAATTGATATTGCTGGGGAGAGAGAGAATAAGTGAAGTTTGACCAAACACTATTAGGAGTAGTGGATGATTAGGAGGTTTGTTGCAACCATGACTGGGCATCTCTGTCGTTCGAGAAGATGATAAGTAGTCTTCATCGTGGCACGACCAAGATGAGAAAAGACGGAGGGTTGAGGAAATCATATAGCTTGTACGGTTTCCCATGGGTGTTCCAGGTATGGACATAAATATATTTTTTTTGATATTCTGGGTCATTCTTATCAATTATGGTTACTAATGTGAATTGCTTATTCGTACAGGTGTGGGCGTACAAGATGATATATTCCCTATCTGGTCGGGTTGCAAATAAAGTTCTCGAGGATGCAGTGCCACGTATCCTCCAGTGGAGGTGCGGCCATTCAACTGCATGCTCGATCGGAAGATATTTCGGTCTACAACTTTAAGTTTGATTTGAATGTTTGTCGCATCGTAAATTATTTCTTATATTTATCTCGACTCTACCTTACTATTGACTTAGGGAAGAACGCGAAGATTAGAGGCAACTGATGCAGAGAAAAACTTCATGAGGCGAACCGTCGAAACACCTGAACAGAGGATGATGACGTCATGGATGTTGATGCAGGCTCATCGGCTGTACGGGAGGGCGCACAGGGTCCGGATGTGGGCCGAGCTGATGATGCTGGACCATCGACTGTACGTGAGGGACCATTGGATGGTGTGGACGTTGAGATGGTTGGGAAAGACCCTGATTTGGACAATGAGGAATCCAAGGGTAAGAAAAAAGTTCGCAGCAGTAGTGAGCACTTGAAGAAGGTTGAGAAGTGCTTGAGGACGATGATCATCGTATGCATGAGCGTAGGGATGGCATAGAGGCTGATTTGAAAGCGATTAGAAAGTTTCTTCGACGAATTGCTAAGGTACACCAGTTATTTTGTTAATTATGATTTTTATTTGTTTTGTTTTATTTGTTTTATTTGTTAATTTGTCACTAAATATGTAGGGTTTACTTGTTGACGTGAGAAACATGAGCTATGAAAAGGTACTGAGCCGGGGGATGGTGCCGGGTTGGGGGATGGAGCCGGGTCGGGGGATGGCGCCCGACCTGGGGATGTAGCAGGGTCGGGAGATGGTGCCAAGGCTATAGATGGTGTTGAGCAGGTTTATGGTGCATATGGTACCGATCGCGGAGTGGGTCGTGAGCTAGGATGCAATACCCCAGCTGGAGATTGTGCTGGGACGGGAGCTGTTACCGAACCAGTAAATGTTACAGAGCTGGTAGATGTTGTGAAGGTAGATGTTGGCGACGTCGTGGATGGGATGGACGTCGATCCTGTGAAGGTACGTTTGATATACTTCGTGATGGGATCATTAAACGAACTATCGTTGGATGCTCATAATTTGGTAATGCAGGAACATGGTGACGAGGTCGTTGTGCTTGTCAACGAAGTGGTTCATGGTGATCGCGGTCAGTCCATCATTGAACCCGACATAGTAGAACTTCAAACGCCTGAACGATCAGTACGTATGGGTTACGTCATTATATGTATTCAGCAACATTAGTGATAACTAAGGTTCATGTGTCACATTTTTTTTGCAGCAACATGCAAGGGGCTTGCCGTTAAACGAAGCTGCCAAAGAGAACTTTCAAAAAGGGGTGGATGCAACACCGGTAGAGCATATTATGATTGGCTCGCAGCAGACAGATTCATCCCCAGACAAGGTATTGAGCTGGTTTTCACCGTCATTCTAGGTAGTAAATATTTATTATTCTAACAATAACGATCAAGGAACATTGTGCGGACGATTTCTCTAGCTCCAACATAGAAGAAGGGAAAGATGTTAAATCATAGACGGCTGCGGATATGTCTGGTACGTCACACTGGGACGCGAACGAGGTTCATGTGCTATCGCATCCAATAGATTCGCCAAAGCCCCGACGAGGATCTCGCAAGACGAAGGTACCGTGGAAGCTCCGTGGATCATTCATAGTAATGCATCTTTTCTAAGCTATCAACATGTTCCTCTTTTTAATGAAATGCTTTTCTTTGTTCTTTGTTTTTGTATCATGTCGTGAGGATTCTTAAGGGCATGAATAGGTTATATTTCCTAGTTTTATGATCAAGGCATGAGTCATTTTTCATTATTTTTGTTTTGATTATAAAACTGTGTTCTGCTTCTTTTTGTTTTGAAACCTTAACTTTTTCATTGCTTTGGAAGTCCTTGTCCTTTTTGTGCCAAAATTTTGCATCTCTCAAAATTTCTTTCCCCAGTGAGGACACTGTTTCCCTTAAGTTTGGAGGGGGGGAGAGGGAACGGTGTGTGTCTTTTTGTTTTAAGAAAGAAAATGCATTTTATGTTTTGGAAAATGAGTCAAGAAAGAAAATGCAAGCAATAAAAGAGTCATATGCAAGAAAATTTTTTTCGAAAGAAATAGTATGAAAAAGAGTCCAAAAGAAGAAAAGCAAGTAAAAAAAAAAGTGTCGTGAGTGAAAATAAGATTGAGGGAAAGAAAAATAGAAGTGATAGTAAGAAACGAGTGGTAAGAAACATGAGAGGAAAGAAAATGCACTTACTTTTTCACGAGTCCCACTATAGACGTTCATTTTCTTAAAATGAGTATGAAAAAGAGTCCAAAAGAAGAAAAGCAAGTAAAAAAAAAGTGTCATGAGTGAAAATAAGATTGAGGGAAAGAAAAATAGAAGTGATAGTAAGAAACGAGTGGTAAGAAACATGAGAGGAAAAGAAAATGCACTTACTTTTTCACGAGTCCCACTATAGCATCTTGGAGGGTGGTAGCCTACATATTAAGGTGACTTCGTGAAACCATTGTCGACATCATTTTATGCCGGGTTGATACCTAACAAGTTTCTATGAGTGGTTGTGGTTTGAAACCGATGTTAGTTGTTGAAAACCTCAGGGGCTAGTAGCCGGTCCACTTGATGTTAAAATTTTTGAAGCAAAACGGAAGTGTGCATATTCCATGGTTTTGTAAAAGAGTTTTGTGTTTTAGAAAAAAAGAAGATTTAGAATCGTTTTTATTTTCAAAACAAAGGATGGTTTATGGTTGTTGGCTTGAGAGTAAAGTTAGGACGTTTAGCTTGTGGAGCCTTTCCTGAGACTTATATGATTCATTTACTTAGAACATTTGGATTGTTGATCATTCATATTTCTAGCATATTGATTGTTTTAGATTTGTTGTTGTTGTTTTTGCTTGAGGACAAGCAAATGACTAAGTTTGGGGGTGTGTTAGGGTTGACTTTTTACTGCAGAAACATGTCGGTAGCCCTGTTTGACCACGTTTTTGACCTATTTCCCATTATTATTTGCCAAAAAGGACCACATATTCTTAAAGTAGAACATACATAGTTTATTTATGCATAAAAGTCAAACTATGATACTTTAGGAAAAATATGAGATAAATGCGGTCAAAGTTGGAAGAAAATAACAGAATTCTGTCTTTTGCAGAATTGCGCCTGGCGCTTTTTTGGAGGGCAATTTGTCAAAACGCACGTTTTGATTAATGAAGGGCAAAGAGAACATTTCCCATATGTTCAAAACCGTGAGTCCAAGTCCAAGTGAGGTGGTTAGGTGAATCTCAACCATTTTCCACCCAAATTGGAGGGGAGTTTCAACCAACCTATGGTGCTATAAAAGAAGTCATCCATCCCTCAGCAAATCATCCATTCCAAGCTTCATTTCATCTTCTTTTCGATGCTCTCTAGTTGTAGAACACGTTTTTAGGGTTTATGTTCATGTTTTAGTTGTTCATTTCTTCCTTTTTCACGCTTTTAATTCGAGTTCTTAGTTCCGTTCTTTGTTCATTCTGTTCTTTTAAAGTTCTTTAGCGAGTTTCAACTCCCCTCACGCTCGAGAGAGAAGAGGGTTAAGCTAGAACTCCTTGTATGGCTTATTTATTCATTTAAATTCAATAAAAAATACTTTCTTTATGTTTTCGTGCATTTACTTTCATTTAATTATGTTCTAAATTAGTTATCAACCTCCTTGTGGAATGCCTTAGTCAAATGATTTGATTTTCAACACGCTCGGGATTTTGGCCAGATTGCGTCTGACACTTCTTTTGGTTGGTTTCTAAAAACTTCTCTTTACCTCTTTTTTCCATTTGGCTAGTGGGAACTTGATTTATACACTAAAGCCCAACATTGGGAAATGTGAGTTAGGTAAAATAATAGGAAAGCAATATGGGATGTGACTTAGGAATAAACGCATAAAATATGGTCCTAGGAATAGGCCCTCTGACCCATAATGCAAATAAGTTGGTAGATATTCTCGAGGATTGTAATCACACATAGGAATATGATTGTAGGTTACCCTAGCCTCTGCAGCAACCAAAAACGGTAGTGAAAGAGTAGAACTCAAATCCCAAGAAAAGTCAGGAATTGCGCCTGGTGCATTTTCCCAACATAGTGTGTTTTCCATGTTTTGCATCAAAACTAAGGTAAGAGACAAGGAGGTTGAGTTCCATTAAATTGCTTGTTAGTTAATGTAACGCCCCAAGATTTCATATAAACATCCTAGGCAACGCTAAATAATTCTTCTGGCTAACCTTAACTCTAAACACGAGATAAGCAACCTCCTGGAAAATAATTTAGATGAAATAAAGCTTCGACTTCCATACGTTCTATCAGAAATATAAATGTCATAAAGTGTCAGAACTCCGCCCTCCGTGGGCAATTTAAAAGAAAACAACATCTCAAATTCGCCTCAGTGGCTAAAATTATTAAATAAGTAAAAACAACCGTGCACCTAAACTTCAATGACAACAACGACGCGTTTACCAACAACATCCATAACAATTAAAGTAGTTCTAAATAATACAAAATTTCCTCCGCGGTTCACACCTAGCAATAACATATGTCTCAAGGCTACTCGTACCCAACTACCTTTCCCTCTATCCTCACTAACTAAACTAGTGATCCTTCCTCGGTCAAGCCCTCTCCACATCATCACCGCGGTCGATCCCGTTCACACCTGAAACATATAAAGGTACAAAGGGGGGGTGAGTACATAAGGTACTCCGTAGGTAGCACTTCCTAACTAGCACAAAAAAAATTATGCTCACAGTCACAACATAAAGAACAAAACAATAGCGAGGGAATCAAATAAGCAGTGAGAGATAGCGAACAATTAACTTGACATTTAGAACAAAACAAGAGCAAGGCAACCAAATAAGCAGAGAGAGATAGCGAACAAATAACTTGACATTTACATACAACAACTAAGAGTCGAAACTACCAATACCACAACCCATGATTCGCTAGCCCTTGTTTCATAGTACTAAACCTTCCTCAACACCCCCCTTTATCACTCCCCACCGCACGCCGCCGCCGCCCGTCACGYGCTGCTGCTGTTCGACGCTGCACCTGCTGCCGCCGCCGCTGCTGCCGCTGTGTCCGCCGGAGATGGCTGCCGTCGGTGCTGCTGTGTCGGAGAGGGAGAGTCCGRGTGGAGGGGGGTGGCCGACGGCTTCAACAAGAGAGGAAAAGGGGAAAAGGAGAAGAGGAATGAGAACAAGTGGCTAGGGTTCCCTTTTCTTGTTTCAAACTTTTAACTYSTTTGGGCTTGGGTTCTTTTCCTTATGTTTAAGGCCCACTTACCCAACCCTTCCTTGTTAAAACAAACCAATAATAGAGTTTCGTAATTGGCCCAATGATCCAAAACAAGTGTCGCATAATGGAAATCCGTACTAAATGTAACTTGAAATAACTACACGCTACTAACTCACCACWAAAACTGTAACAATACACACTAGTCGAGATGTCACACTTAAATTAAATAAGATCACTGATGAATCAATTAAAAATAACAATGAAATAAATCAATAAATCAATAAATAAAAATCCATTTTGTTAGAAAATTTTCCGGAACTCGGGACAAGCTAACCTGAGTAACGCGGGGCGTTACAGTTAAAACCCCAAACAACAACATTTCACCATTATTTTCTTCCTAAATCACAATTGCATATTTGAACAATTTCACTGCATTACTTGATTTTGAAAAGCAACAAGTCCCTGAGGATTCGACTTTAGATTACTTCCGAGTATTACTTGTGACTATGTGCGCTTGCACGAGTCTCTAATCTTTTTAAAGGTAGAGAAAATCCCAACATATTCGTACAATTTGTCTCCGCCCTACTCTTGTAACGAACTTTGGAGGATCGATGGTGAATTCAACAAAGTCATCCGGTAAAACCCAATCCTCCTCATCACCGAAGGGAAATATTGGCTCGGAATAAGCAGTAATAAAGGTCTCCAATTTATACTTCGACGAACATAATGTGTATATATTGACATTACGATGCATGGCCGCAGCAACGACATGTGAGAATAGATTCTAGTAGTAGTGAAACTGCTTGCACGTACAAGTCTTACTGTTCAGGTTGACACGCACTTTACAACTAGCGCCGTGTATCTCGTATTCAAAATTGTCAATAAGTTTAATGAGATGTCGTTGGGCCTGCTCCACAGCTTCCTTAAGAATATTTCCAGCATAGTCAGTCAGAATGGTCGATCTTGTGGATGCGTATGTCCGTCGCTCGTAAAACCATCGTTGTAGAAGAGCCCTACAATGTTCTAACAGTGCGGTGACTGGCAATGCCCGTTCATGCACAAGTACATCATTCATGGACTCCGCAATGTTAGTCGTCATTTGGTTGTACCCCAGTCTAGGTTGATATGCACGTGCCCATTTGTCGAACCGGATGTCCTCTAGATACTTATGCACTTTTGGGAATCCTGCAAGTTGGTTCCAATAATACTTGAACGTAGACTTCTTGAACGCCTTAGCTGCTTGAATGTACAACCTCTCCACATCCTCGGTCCTACACTTGAACTTATCGTTCAAGTTTATCTTTACATGATGCATGCATGTAACGTGTTTCTCGTCGAGAAGACAGCAGCTACAGAGTGATTAATGGTTTGGTGCCGGTCGGACACGAAAACCAATCCATTAATGTCTCCAATACAAATCTTCACATGCTCCAAAAACTAAGTCCATAAGCTGTCTGTTTCCTTGTCCACAATTCCAAACGCTAGTGGATATATCTGATTATTCCCATCGACAGAGGAGGCTATAAATATCACACCTTTATACTTTCCCTTCAGATGTGCACCATCAATGACAAGCATAGATCAAATGCAACTTCTAAAGCCTCTTATTGAGCAACCCAGAGCCATGAATGCATACTGAAAGTATTTATCAGCTTCTAGTTTCATGGAAAAAATTGTGCTCGAGTTCACCGATTTCAACGCCTCGCCATATTTACGCAAGAGTGTATAGGACTTCTTAGGCGATCCCATTAGTATGTCCAACGCTTTTTCTCTTGCACACCAAGCCTTTTTATATCGGATGTTTACACCATAATTTTTCCGCATGTCATTAACAATATCCTTTGGATGATAACAACGACTTACATCCTCGAGGTTGGATTTTATGAGTTGACCCAAGACATGACTTCGAGCTTGTCGGTGGTCATGTTTCATCACCTTACGTATGCAACTATGTAACTCATGAAACATAGAGATAAAAAAAGTATCGGAACCTTTAATCTTCCTTGCACGCAGGTTCCATTTGCATCTATCCTCCGAGCATGTGACAGTATACAAGCTCTTATTAGATTTCTTCACGCGATATTCAAAATTCAATCTCATCTTAAACACAGATAGTTTGAACTGGAATTCTTCTTTCGATCGAGAGGTACTCCCTACCGTAATGTCCTCAGTTGACAGACCAACTTCATTGCCCTCACCTATCCGAGTGAGTACCCTTGATCAAGAAGTTTGACTAGTTGCACACAGTGCATTCGTACTATCCGTGTGCACTTCGGTCAAGGGGTCCAAAGACGGAGTGGCTACATCCTCGGGCTCTACTTGCTCGTTCTCAACATCAGCATCGTTCTTGAACTCATTATCGTGGTTCTCATCATCCCTACCTTCATACTCCATGTGATTGTCATCATTGTCGTCCCACTGACCGCAATAGTTTGTTTCATCATCATCTAGGTTACATGATGGACCAGCATTAGGGAGTGTGTAATTCAAATGAACTGATGGCACATAATGCCCTACCTGGTCCGGAACTGAATGGAATCTTCAGTCCTTAGAACGATACGATTCTGTGAAGTGCTTCCACTACCGTGTCTTTCCTTCGGTACGGCAGATACGTAGAGTGAGACTTGAGAGGGAGGTGGAGGACCTCTTAAAAAAAATCTGAGGCTATGATCATCGAATATATAAAACTGTGGGACTTGATACTGGGGCTTGAATAGGTATACACAACGTATCAAGATGTTGAACTGGTCTCGGTCAATTCTGGTAAGCATGAACATGGCACTTATGAGCTCATCGTACGTTATACTATTGTCCACATCTAAACCTTCAATAATCCCACCTTCGTATACAGATTGAGACTCATTCCACGTACCACCATAACCAACAAAGAGACGAGGCATCCTGCATTATGAACGAACAAGTTAATTGAGGGTGAAATTACTGAATTCACGGGCGAAAACAAGTAACTTCTCGACCGTGAAGCTTATACATCTCCTGCGTGAATGCTATTATTTTCACCCAAGAATGGTTCAAAAATGGCCTAGAAACAGTTAGAAAAATCAGAACAAAGAAATTGTTTCACCCATATCCACACTACGTTTCAACAGAAGTTGAAAGCTAAAAAAATAAAATTATACAAAAGCTAGAGATGCAAATGTGCGAGTTCATAGATGAAAACAAAACTTGTTATTCAAAATAAATAACATCTACCTCGTTCATGTAGAAAAATATCACTTTCAGATGGAAAAGTCCGAGGTAATTTGCAGTTACGTAATTCTTTTTTGTTATCTGAGAGCTGAGTACAAGATGCACTGATGAAAAGTAAAGTCGTTCGTGCGAATATTTTCAGTTAGGTGTTTCCTTTATTGAAAAACTTCAATTCACGGGAGAGACAGAGGCATTTCACGGACGTGAAATTAATGTAGTTCAACCACATAACTTCATTTCTCGAGTGGGATAGTTGTGCTTCACAGCTGGGAAATTAATGTACGTTAGCCCATTTCTCGTGGACGTCTCGCCCATAATGTCATTATCTTGTTATTTTTCTCATGATTCGCTCCAGAAAATTATGATCTCACTCGAGAATTAACTTTGTTTGCGAGGGTTAGTTGGGTACATTTACTTCACTGACACGTTAGAAAAGTCATTAGTGGGCCATTGAAAACATTTTTTGAGGGGTGGATTATCTAAGCAAAAAGTTTTCTTCAGCAGGCTATTTGAGCCATTTTCCCATTAGAGATCTCCCTAAAGATGGCGAGATGAAACATTGGGTTGGGCCAATCCTCTAAGCTCGCCAAGGATGGGGCCGAGTCAGAAGCATTCAGCCTAAGAATATATAAACCAGCCCATTTATGAGCCCACAAACGCGGTGTTTATAAATCCCGAGAATTAGGTTTTTGAGAAGAGTAAAACGAAGTTCGTCGGCCGTTGAAACTCTATAGTTGTAGGAGAAGCTAGACGCCACCGAAGATGGTGAAAGGAAGGGAAGGAGAGAGAGTCGGGTCTATAATCTAAGCCTATGGAATATCAAATTTTTAAGTTATTATTGTGTCGTTCTTCACCTAATTTGTTTTTATTGTTCTTTCGCTTCACTTTTTTGTTGGAATTAGACTCTACATCCGAGGAACAATTCCCGGCTACAAGAGGTAACTAATTACTGTCTTTCGACTCCCTCGTTCACATTTTCTTGCCATAACATTTGAGTTTGTTGTGTTTATGGACTGCGCTATATTGTTTTCTTAGTTGTTGTCATTTGTTTGAAATCTAATGATGATTGATGTGGTGGCTAGGTCTAAATCCAACCAGTACCCGAACACTTCATTACTCCAGATCAAGGGTGTTAATTCCAAGGATGAGGTTTCCTGGTACCAAGGAAAGCGATTGGCTTATATCTACAAGGCTAAAGTGAAGAAGAATGGGACACATTATCGTTGCATTTGGGGTAAGGTCGCTGGGCCTCACGGTAACAGTGGCATTGTTAGAGCGAAGTTCATGTCTAATCTACCGCCAAAGTCCATGTTATGGTGAAAAATAAAGCTATTTAATGTGTTGTAAATGGAGACCCCTCTATCTTGGTTCTTTACATTTTGGTAACTTCTCTACAGGGTGATAGGGTCAGAGTATTCATGTACCCCAACAACATTTAAGGTAACTAGCTTATTTCGTTGCTTAGTAGATTTATCTTTTACGGTCTTTCTCTTTATCTTTTTACACCTGGTATGTTCTGATGCTTCTTATTATGGTTTCTGTCTTTTATGAGTGGGAAGCTCATGATTTGCTGGGCGAATGTGTTCGACCAGCACGTGAACAGTAGATTTGTGAGCAATGTGTGGAAGGTTGGTCTGGATATGAAGGATGTGTGCGACAGAGCAACTGTGGCGAAGATGGTGAATGATTTAATGGTGAATAAAAGAGAGGAGTTCGTGAGGTCTGCTGCTGAGATTGCTAATTTTGCAATGCGAAGTGTGAGCGCAGGTGGATCATCATACGCTTATTTTGGACGTCTGGTCAAGGATATTAGATTGCTAAGTCAACAGACAACACTAGAGAAACATTAACGATGATGTCAAATTTTATTTCAAATATGAAGGGTTGAAAATGTTGGAAAAAATTTTAAAAACCCATATGTTAGAATTTAAGCTAGATTCATTTCTATATACATACATGAATTCCTAGATACATGAATTGTTAGGTTTATGTAAGATAATGTATTAAGATACATGAATAGTATGTATACATGTATCTATTTATTTTGTGTCTTTTAGATGTGTCTCTTGGATGTTACATAAAGGGATCATTTCCTTCATTTGTAATCAAGCAAGAAAGAAGCTAATCGAAGCATTTCAATCAAGAAAGAAAAGAGAACAATATTCTTCTCTTGTATGTTATTGAGTTTAATAAGAGAACAAATTTCTTCTCTTTAAAGTTGGTGAGTTTTAGAGTGAATTCTAGTGAGGGCTTATCAACGTTTCCAACAAAGTGGTATCAGAGCCAAGTTCAAAAGATGTCATCCAACAACATGTTGCAGCCTCAACTTTCTCATTTTGAAGGAAAGAACTATAGATGGTGGAGTCAACAAATGAAGGTTCTTTATAGATCTCAAGAGCTTTGGGATATTGTTGATAGAGGATATTCGGAGCCAGAAGGTGAAGATGGTCTTTCACAAGAACAACTCAACGAGTTGAGAGATGCTAGAAAGAAAGACAAAAAAGCGTTGTTTTTTATCTACCAAGCTGTAGATAAAATATCTTTGAAAGAATTTCAGGAGTCTCAACTGCTAAAGCAGCATGGGATGAATTGCAAAGTTTATATAAAGGAGAGGAAAAGGTAAAAATGGTAAGATTGCAAGCACTTGAAAGAAGTTGAAACTGTTGAAGAATTTTTCAATCATGTTCTCTCTATTATTAATCAATTGAGATCAAAGAGTGGTAGAAAAGATCCTTCGAAGCATGACCAGAAGATATGAGCACATTGTAGTAGCAATTGAAGAGTCTAAAGATTTGTCAACACTCTCCATATATAGCTTGATGGGATCTCTCCAATCTCATGAGCTTAGATTGAAGCAATTTGATTTTACTCTTTCAGAAGAAGCTTTTCATATGCAAACTTCTTCTAGAGGGAGATTTAATGAAAGAAGAGGTGGTCGCAGTGGTCGAGGAAATGGAAGGTCTAATGACTTCAAAAGTTTTGAGTCAGAGAGAAGAGATAATCAAACTTCTTCAAATAGAGGAAAGAGAAGAAATTCCAGTAGAGGAAGAAGTAGAGGTGGAGGTCATGGAGATTTTTCTCACATACAATGCTTCAATTGTAGACGCTACGGGCACTTTCAAGCAGACTATTAGTCTAAAAAGACCAATTCTAATAAGGCAGAGACCACTCTGATGCATGAACAACAAAATGATGATCAAAGCCTTTTTTTTCCTCACATTTAATGTCCAAGAAACAAGTACCGAAGATATATGGTACCTTGATAGTGGTTGCAATAACCACATGACCTTTTCGTAACTATGGGTGAATCTCTTCAAAATGAAGTGAAGACAGGTGACAACAAGAAACTCACAGTCAATGGAAAAGGAGATATTATCGTGAAGACAAAGAATGGAGCAAAAAGAATCGTTGATGTGTATTACGTTCCAGGACTCAAACACAATCTTTTAAGTGTTGGTCAACTTCTATTGAAGGGACATGATGTTGTCTTCAAAGATAGCATATGCGAGATTAGAGCTAAGAATGAAAGTCTCATAACAAAGGTACACATGACTCACAACAAAATGTTTCCAATCAAAATGTTTTATGAGAAGCTTCTTTGTTTTGAGACTTTAGTAAAAGACTCTTCATGGCTTTGGCATTATCGATATGGGCACCTGAGTTTTGACACTTTGTCTAACATGTGTCAACAACATATGGTGAGAGGAATGCCAAATATTAAAAGGGAAGATCAACTTTGTGAAGCATGTATTTTGGGAAAGCATCATCGAAATCCATTTTCGACAGGAAGTTCTTGAAGAGCATCAAAACCTCTCGAGCTAGTCCATACAGACTTATGTGGACCCATGCGAACTACTACGCTTGGAGGTAATCGTTATTTTCTCACATTTATTGATGACTATAGTCAGAAGACATGGATTTACCTGTTAAAAGAAAAAAGTTATACTTTCGAGTAAAACATTCAAGGCAATGGTGGAAAATGAAAGCAACTTAAAATTGAAGATGTTGCGTTCTGATTGTTTATGGATAATATATTACTTTTGAAGATTTTTTTGAAGGAAAATGGAATAAAGTATCAAAAGACTGTTCGAAGAACTCCTCAACAAAATGGTGTTGTAGAGAGAAAAAACAGAACAATAATGGAGCTTGCAAGAAGTATGTTGAAGGCCAAGAATCTTCCAAATGAATTTTGGGGAGATGTAGTGACATGTGCTATTTGTCTCTTGAATCGTGCTTCAACCAAAAGTGTTCAAGGCCTTACTCCTCAAGAAACATGGAGTGGATTAAAGCCAACTGTTAGTCACCTAAGAGTATTTGGCTGCATTGCTTATTCTCATATTTCAAATGAGAAAAGAGGTAAGCTCGATGATAAATCAGAAAAATGCATTTTTGTTGAGTATAGTGAGAACTTCAATGCTTATAGATTATTCAATCCTATAAGCAAGAAAATCATTATCAGCCGAGATGTAAAATTTAGTGAAGCAGAATTTTGGAGATGAGATGCAACAAATGGAAACCATAATCCATTACTTGTTGACATGAATGACAAAGGAGATGCTCAAGACTTGGAGCTTGAAGAGACTCGACCAGCAGCTTCATCTTCATCTCTACCTTCCACAAGTGATGAATCAACTCCACCAAGGAAGATGAGAAATATTCAAGAGATCTATAATGCTTCAAGAAGAATACCTGAAGATGAACATGTTGATTTTGCTTTATTTGCAGATGTTGATCCTATATACTTTGAGGAGGCAATTCAAGATGAAAAATGGAAGGTTGCAATGGATCAAGAGATCGATGCAATAAGAAGAAATGAGACATGGGAGTTAGTCAATCTACAGGAAAATAGATAAGCTCTTGGAGTCAAATGGGTCTACCGGACGAAGCTGAAGCAAAATGGCGAAGTTGAGAAATATAAGGCAAGACTTGTCATTAAAGGGTACAAGCAAAAGTATGGTGTGGATTATGAAGAAATTTTTGCACCTGTGACCCGTTTGGAGACTGTTTGATTGATTCTAGCTCTTGCAGCACAAAATGACTGGAAAGTACATCAAATGGATGTCAAGTCAGCTTTTCTAAATAGGTACTTGGAGAAAGAGATATATATTGAGCAACCTCCTGGTTTTGTACAGAATGGAGACGAGGACAAGGTATGTCGATTGAAGAAAGCATTGTACGGGTTAAAGCAAGCACCAAGAGCCTAATACAATCGTATTGATAGTTTCTTCCTGAAGAATGATTTCAAAAGATGTCCATATGAACATGTTCTCTACACCAAAGAGGACAAGAATGGTAATTTCTTGATCATTTGTCTATAAGTTGATGATTTGATATTTTTAGGAACTTCAACAATGATGCTTGAAGAGTTCAAAGTGAGCATGAAGAAAGAATTTGAGATGACTGATATGGGCTTGCTTCATTACTTTCTTGGTATCGAAGTAAAGCAAAGTGATACTGGGATTAATATTTCCCAAAAGAAGTATGCGAAGGATTTGTTGTTCAAGGTCAAAATGGAGAATGCTGATAAGAAAATGGACCTAACAAGTGTTCATAATACTTTAATAAATGATATTCAACTCATTCAAAAGATTTGGAATGAATGACCCATGATCTCAATGGGTTGGTGAAATCTCGGTCGAGTTTTTTGACTCATGGATGGGTCCCACAATAGAAAGCCGCATTTTTTTTACTTTTCTTGGTCAAATGCCGACGACCGACAGGTGAAGAGGGGTCTAAATACGAAGGTTATGTGAGATTAAGTTAACTCTAGGTTAAAATATTATTGTAGTTTTCATTTTGAGCTTTGGCTTATTTTTGTTTCTATACTTTTGTAATGTTCATTTTAGTATCTGTATTTTCAAACTTTAGTTTACATTAGTTTTTGTTCTTTTAATATATTCGATTTGATCCGTGTACATTTAAAAATAGACCATTTTGATCTTTGTTTTCGAAATTTTAACACAAATTATACACATAATAGAAATCTTTCAATATAGAGTCATCGTTACATTTCAAAAAATATATCGAGTGTAGTGTCATGTTGAAATTGTGATAGAAAAATGAAATAAAAATAAATTTTAAAGGATTAAAATAGTCACTTTTAAAAGTACAGGTAATAAAACGAACATTTTGATAAAGTATAAAGAGTTAAATGAACAAAAACAAGTCTAAAAGTACAAGGATCCAAAATAGTATTTTAACCTTAATTATAGTTTCATATTTACCTATTTTCCCTCTCATCTTTCTCTCTCATTGAATGGTAGTAAATAAGTTGTACAATAATGAAACTGTGTCAAAAAAGAAAAATATTTGCTCCACACGTGAGGCCAACATATATGTTTGGTAGCCATTTTTTGTTTTTTGTTTTTGAAAAATAGAAAACCAAAATTTTTTGATAATCTTTTTAGTTTTTTGTTTTTAAAAGGTTAGAAAATTGAAA